TTGATTTTCTCAAAGAACCAGCTCCTGGTTTTGTTGATATTTTGTATTGTTCTTTCTATTTCTATTTGGTTGATTTCAGCCCTGAGTTTGATTATTTCCTGCCTTCTACTCCTCCTGGGTATATTTGCTTCTCTTTGTTCTAGAGCTTTTAGTTGTGCAGTCAAGTTGTTAATGTGTGCTCTCTCCAGTTTCTTTTTGTAGGCACTTAGAGCTATGAGTTTTCCTCTTAGCACTGCCTTCATGGAGTCCCACAAGTTTTGGTATTATGTGTCCTCATTTTCATGGAATTCTAAAAAGTCTTTAATTTCTTTCTTTAATTTAACTCTAGTGTTACATGCCCTCACTGTGTAAGACTGGATTCTGTATTTTCAGTTATCTTGCTTGTGGCAGAATTCCTCAGAGTCCAGATGTCTCTGTGGTCTTATGATCTTAATCTCCTGGGTGGAAGAACTCCTGGGACTCAGGCCACCTCTTGGATCTGGAAATCCTTCTGCTCTGGGTGCAGTGGTTCCTCTAGGATGGCTCAGGATTCAGTATCTCCACAGAAGCAGACCAACTCTGTGTCTGCCCCAGCCCAAAGGACCAGGCAGGGTTGGAAGGGAAGTAGAATTCCAGAGGGTTGGTTTTTGGGTAGCTGGTGGGTGCTGAATGTCCCTGACTCACAGATTTAACTCTGGGGCTTATGGAGTGAGATTTAGTTCTTACTGGCTGCTCTGAGTGCAGTGGCTCCTCTAGGATGGCTCAGGATTCAGTATCCCCACAGGAGCAGACCAACTCTGTTTCTGTCCCAACCCAAATGACCAGGCAGGGGCCGATTGTTTACATTGTTAAAAATTGGTTTTGCTTAAGAAACTTAAATATAGCTAATCTGCCACTTTTCCATTGCCTGCAGTTGGCAGTTCAATCATGAGTCTGGGATTTTTTGATTCGCCTATGTTTATTGAAAAGTGGAGAGAGCAGGTAGAGCTGAATAAAAGTATTTAAAGCAGTTGTGATACAGTACAGGTCTACAGGAAGGACAGTCTTTGCTCCAGGCCTCAGAAAACAAGATTAAGAACATTTACATTTAAATTAAGACAATGCAGACTGGGTGCAGCAGAAGGTTGTGTGACAGACAGTCCTTTTGTCTTGGTCATCAAAACCAGCCCCTAGAATGGCGTTTTCTGGAATTTGCTTATTGCCTTGCTTGTTCCTTGAGGGGGAGGCTTCAGCCTCATTCACAACAGCTTATGGGCCAGGAGTTATATATAACAATTATGCTGTAGGATTTAAAATTGTGCCTGCTTCCCTCCATGGCATTATAGCTGTGCCTGTTAACAGAAGAAATGCTCTCAGAGTAAAAAGGACTAGATTGGCCTTTATCTGATACTCTCACTCAGCTAAAAGGAATTGGTTTTTCAATTAATACAAAACAAATTGGGCTGGTGAGATGGCTCAGCGGTTAAGAGCACTGACTGCTCTTCTAGAGGTCATGAGTTCAAATCCCAGCAACCACATGGTGGCTCACAACCATCTGCAATGAGATCTGATGCCCTCATATGGGTGTCTGGAGACAGCGACAGTGTACTTACATATAATAAATAAATAAATAAATCTAAAAAAAAAACAAATTTCAAACTTAAGATTTATAAAACTAATGGGGCACTACAGCCTGACTTGCCTTCTCCAGCTGCCATTCCAGTAAATGCATATAAAATTATTATAGATTTAGAAGATTGTTTTATACCATTCCTTTACATCCTGGTAAAGGTGAGAGATTTATACTAAGTGAATTCACTTGTAATTTTTGAGAGCCCATGAAGGATATCATTAGAAAGGTTTGCCTCAAGGAATGGTTACATTATATAAAAAATTTGTTGTTGCTTTAATACAAAAAGTTAAGCGTTTGAATCTCTCAGTGTATATAATTCATTATATATTTTATTGGCTGATCCCTCTAAAGGAGTTTTTCTGCAAGCCTTTGCTCTTATAATAATGAGCTTTAAAATTTTGGAGTGCTTGTTGCTCCAGAAAAGATTCAACAACAATATCTTTTCAATATTTGGGACATCAGTTATATCTTAAGCAGATTGTGGCACAGAAAATTCCAATAAGAATGGATAGTTGAGGCTGGAGATATGGCTCAGCCATTAAAGGCTAGACTCACAGTTAAAAATATTAGAGTTCAATTCCCAACAACCACATGGTGGCTCATAACCATCTGTAATGGGATCTAGTGCCCTCTTCTGGCTTGCAGATGTACATAAAAAATGGTTTACTTTCAATGATTTTCAAAAGTTGTTAGGAGATATTAATTGGCTAAAACCTCATCTTAAGCTTACCACAAACCTCTGTTTGATATTCTCAAGGTGAATGCAAGTCCTAATTCCCTTTGACAATTAACTGATGAAGGAGGAACAGCTTTGCTGAAAGTAGAGTAAGCTGTTAGTTATCAACAGATACATTAAATAGACTATGATCAATTGTTGGCTGTTTGCTTTATTGCTACTCACGTGCTCACAACAGCCCTTTGGCAAAAGAAACCATTAATGTGGATTCATCCTTCTTCATCTACAAGTAAAGATTGAACATCCTATTATGAAACTCTTACAGTGTTAATACAGGATTGTAAGATAGTATCCTGAAAGTATTTTGGATGAAATGTTTATTCCTTATCCCAAATGGCAATTAAATTGGTTATTGAAAAATACCAATATTTGGCCTATTACATAGCAAACTTTTTAGGCAAATTTGATAATCATTATCCATAAGACAAGTTGTTACAGTTTTCCTCTATGCATGCTTTATTATTTCCTGTAAGTTTGATTGTAGCCCATAGAAAAAATGTTTACTGTATTTACAGATGCATCATCTATTGAGAAGGCAGTATATGTAATTAGGTCACATGTTCATTTTCTTGAGTTTTCCCCCTGCTTTAGCACAAATAATTGAATTATGTGCTGTAGCCACTGTTTGAAATGCTGAAAAATAAGCTTTCAATTTATATACTCATAGCCAGTATATGGCTCATGGTTTATAATTGCTTAAAATTGTTCCTTTTTTAGATATTGCTAATTTTCAAATTTTACAATTATTTAAACATGTACTATTCCTTAACTTAATAAGACTTTTAAGAGCTCATATTGGATTGCCTGGACCCCAGGGCAATGCCAGAGCAGATTTGAATACCAGGCAGATTATAGACCTTACAGAAACAATTGGCCCTACAATCTTATTCTTTACATAATCAAAAAATAATAGCTTGAGACAATAATTTGATATTTCTAGAAAGTCTGCAAGTTAAATTGCAAAAACTTGTTCTCAGTGTCCTCAAATTTTTCATAATGGTGTTAAGCCTTAAGGACTTATATGTAATTAATTTTGGCAAATGGATGTTACTCTGAAGACCTCCGCAGAGGGGAGACCCTCTCTCAAGTCTCAGAAAGTCGCGACCACCCAGTAATCTGCTCGAGACACCATGTACTGGAGCAATTGCGAGGTTATCTATTAGGGCGTGACAGCTAGCTGCCGGTCAATTCGTATGCCCACGCAGGAGCAGAATTGACCCCGACTGCCAGTTTGAGGGGTGTTTTTAAAGGGAAAAACCACAAACCAAGGAAATGAGGAGGGGGTGAGGGGGTTGCTAGGGTGGTATAACATAAAAATAGTGGAACATTCCAAAGGAACCCAACCTACATGAGTCAGGATCAGATGAAAACTCTCTGTACGCTTATCTTTCTCAAGAATGTAGTCCTGCCCTGTCACTTCGGCCTTGCCCTGTCACTATGGTTCTCAGCTTGGTTCCACCTGACTAAATTGCATTCTTTCCTTTCTCTTTGCGGGTTGGCCAGTTCCAGTAATGGTGACTGGTCTTTCCACATTCCTAAAGAAAGCCTAAAGAATATTTTATATGTCTAAAAAGGATTCTATATATCCAGTATCTATAATTTTCTCTCTACATTCCCCCATTTTTTCTAATGATAGTTTTTAATCATAAAAACTTAACTCCACTTTTTCTAATGTAATGTAAATCTGATTACAGATCTTGCATTTCAGTATCTTCATAGCTTCCGTTTCCCTGTCCAAGGGTTTGATATTGATGGCATAGCAATAAAAGCTGAACAGCACTAACTTCTGTTTAAGAAGCAAAAAAACAGAATCAAAAGGGGACCAGGGAAAATATCAGAAAAGCACCTTGGATCAGACTTAACAGCCTCTGTCCAGTCCTTGGGAGAGAAGGAGTAGAGGTCAAAGGAGTACCCAGAGGGTACTCAGTATGGTGTTTGAGTTCTGAAGGTCTTAAAGGGGTCACAGGGGCAACCACAAGGGGTTTCTGTTCTGGTAACACTCTGTTAGGGCCTATAGGCTGAGCAGGTGGACTCTCTATCTTCAACTGAATAGTGAAAGCAGCACCTAAGTCGCGCTTCATCATTCTATCTGGAAAATACCATCTAAGGCCCCATGTTCTCCCTTTTAACCACTGTACTGTATCCCCGGTCCGTCCCTGGACAGTGAAAGTTATATTTAAGGGTATGCAGGTGGACCTTGAATTGCACAGGTTCTCTGTAGTCCACTTAAAACATTCTGTTGGAGAGACATAATTTTTAAGTACTACAATCCAGTCCCATGAGGAGCTGGGGTTCCAGTAAGCATCTCCTGTTGTTTCGCAGCCCCAAGCAGAACAATATAAGTTCCCTATGTCTCCACAACGGTGGGCTGTTGTTTGATCCTGACCATCCCTGGGACAGACATAAAAATCTAATTTCCCTAGCTCACATCTGCGTTCCGGGTCTCTGCACCCAAATTTACCTCCTGGGCAAATTCTCCGCCCTGCACCCAGGGGCAACTTCTGAGGATCTGAGGTAGGGATATCCCAGGTGTCTAATCCAGCTGCTAATTGGCAGAAATCGGGAGTGAGAGTGGGCCACCAGGTGTATGGTGGGACTACCTTAGAGGCAGACCACACTACCTCTCCAGTCATTGAGGTGACCTGCCAAGTCAGTTTTTGGGGAGTGTGTGGATTATTCCCCATCATCTGTGGGCCTACGGCGTAGGCGCAACTTAAGAGGATTACCAGTCCACTCCAAAGTCCATTCATCTTGGTGAGAGTTCGGAGGTGCTCTTTTCACGTGCGAGGTGTGGATCCACACAGCGATGCTGTCTACCTTCACTGCTGTGGGGGTTGTCAGCAGGACCAGGTACGGGCCTTTCCACCGTGGCTCAAGGTTGCCCGTCCGATGTCTCCTTACTAGGACAGTGTCTCCGACCTCGAACTGGTGTGGTACTGGATCTTCTTTAGGAGCATAGGAGTTCTTTATGGTTCCCCAGATTTCCTTTTTCACAGTCTCTAAGGCTTTTAGTCAGGCTAGAATAGGAAAAGGGGGAATATAACCATCATCAGGGTGAGTTGTACTCTCAAGGGTCTGATAAACGGGAGGTGGAGAACCGTATAAAATCTCAAAGGGGGTAAGTCCCAGGACTCTGGGCGTGTTCCTGATTTGGAACAGGGCAAGTGGGAGCAAGGCTGTCCAATCACCCCCCAACGGTCTCTATAGTCAATTTAGTTAAGGTCTCTTTTAGGGTTCTATTCATTCTCTCTCCCTGTCCTGAACTCTGGGGTCTATATGAACAATGTAATTTCCAATCGAACCCCAATAGTTTGGCCAGTCCCTGACTTTCTTGCGTGATGAAAGCAGGCCCATTGTCTGAGCCAATCACCCTTGGCACCCCAAACCTGGGTAGGATTTCTTCCAATATCTTCTTAGCCACCACAGTAGCAGTCTCCTTCTTGGTTGGGAATGCCTTGACCCATCCGGAAAAAGTATCTATAAATACTAAGAGATATTTGTTACCATACCTGGTAGGTTTTACTTCAGTGAAATCGACCTCCCAGTAAGAACCAGGTCGATCTCCTCGAAGTCTAGTTCCTTTTACCTCCTGATGGTGGCTGGCATTGGTGAAAGTACAAGCCTTGCACTCTCGCACTAGCCTGTGCGCTAGTTTCTTCAACCCTGGAATCTTATACTGAGACCGGGCCACTATTTCCATCATCTTTTCGGGCCCCAAGTGGGTCCACTGATGGATCCCAGATAGGTACTGTAGGCTTTCTTCTTCAGACAGGACTGGCTTGGTCCCTGGTTCCTCAGTGGGATTGGGAGTCTTTGATTGGGTTCTGATGGCCAAAATCATGGGTCCCTGGGCAGCTTTCTTTGCTTCCAGGTCTGCCATTTGGTTTCCTTTTGCAATATAGTCTGTCCCTTTTTGATGGCCGGAACAATGAACTATTGCCACCTTCTTTGGAAGGTGAATTGACTCCAAGAGGCTCAAAATCTCTTCTTTGTTTCTAATTTCTTTTCCTGCTGAAGGTAATAGCCCTCTCCGTCGGTAGATGGTGCCATGTACATGAGCGGTAGCAAATGCATACCTGCTATCAGTGAAAATATTCACCCCTTGTCCTTCTGCCATCTTCAAGGCCTGGGTCAAGGCTACCAGTTTAGCTTTTTGTGCTGAAGTCCCTTCAGGTAGGGCCGAGGCCCACACAGTCCTTTTCCCATCCACCACCGCCGCTCCCGCCCTTCGCTTACCCTCAATCACGAAGCTGCTCCCATCAGTAAACCAGGTCTTCACCCCTGGCCAGGGCTTGTCAGTCAGGTCCAGTCTGTTGGACGTTTCTTCAGCCAGTATTTCTTCACACTGGTGAATCATGGAGCTGTCAGCCTCGGGCAGCAGGGTGGCAGGGTTCAGAACAGCCGGTGGGGCAAGGTTATACGTTCGGTGAGAAGGAGGCTCTGGTAGTGAGTCATTCTGGCATTAGTCATCCAGCGATCGGGAGGCTGTCTGACAATGCTTTCCAGAGCATGAGGGGCCACTATTGATAATTTCTGTCCCAAAGTCAGTTTATCAGCATCTTGTACTAGTAGAGCCGTAGCTGCTATGGCCCGCAGACAGACAGGCCATCCACTTGCTACCGGGTCTAGCTTCTTTGAGAGATACGCCCCTGGACGTTTCCATGGACCCAAGGTTTGAGTCAAAACTCCTCTAGCCACTCCCTTCCTCTCATCAATATAGAGAGTGAAAGGCTTAGTTAGATCTGGTAAAGCCAAAGCAGGGGCTTCTAATAAAGCCTTTTTCAAAGCCTCAAAGGCTTTCTGATGTTCGATTGTCCAGGTAAACTCCCCTTGTTCCTTAGTCAGGGGGTATAAAGGTGCCGCCAAGGTGGCGAACCCTGGGATCCACAGCCTGCAGAACCCGGTGGTCCCAAGAAACTCTCTTACCTGACGAGGGGTAGTTGGGGTTGGGATCTGCATAACTGTCTGCTTTCTGGCCTCAGTCAGCCAGCGTTGTCCATCTCTCAAGGTGTAACCCAAATAAGTCACTTCAGTCTTACATAGCTGGGCCTTCTTCATAGATGCCCAATACCCCAACTTACCCAACTCAGCCAGGAGACGTTCTGTTCCTTTCTCACAATCTTGGGGGTCCTTAGTGGCCAATAAAAGGTCATCTACGTATTGTAACAGAGTCACTTGAGGATTATTAGCCCTGAAAGGGGCCAGGTCCCGGTGTAGTGCCTCATCAAATAAAGTGGGAGAGTTCTTGAATCCCTGGGGGAGTCTCGTCCAGGTCAGCTGTCCTGCTTTACCGTTCTCTGGGTCTCTCCACTCAAAGGCAAACAAGGGCTGACTCTGGGAATGAAGTCTCAAACAAAAGAAAGCATCTTTAAGGTCCAGAACTGAATACCAAGTTCTGTCCAGTGGCTCCAATAACTATGGTTTGCTTACTTCTCAACTTCCCCAGGGGTTTCTTGAACACTGAGAATTCTGCTCCTGTGTCGACAAGAAAGTCCATGGGGGTCCCCTCCACTTTCAGGGTTACCCTAGGCTCAGGGAGGGGGGCCAAGCCCTGACCCCCCTAGTCTTCATTGCTACCTAGGGCCAGAGCCTTAAGTCCCTTCTTGGTGGGACACTCTCTGGCCCAATGTCCTCTCTCCTTGCAATAGGCACATTGGTCTCTGTCCAGTGCTTGGCTGGCTCTTCTGGGTCTCCTTGGCTCCTGCCTCCGATACTCGCCCAAGTTCCCTGTCTGCCTAACTCCTCTTCCCTGTCTTCTTCCCTCATCTATAACTGTGGCCAAAATCTTAGTCAAATTCTTTTCCTGCCTTCTCTGTCTCTCATCTTTCTCCTTACTCCTTTCTCTTTTCTCTCTTTCTGCTTTTTCTTCCTGAGTTTCCCTCTTATGATAGATCTTCCCTGCTTCCTTAACCACATCTCTGATTGTGAGGTCTTGTAATCCCTCAAGACGCTGTAACTTCTTTCTAATATCTGCAGCAGCCTGCCCAATAAAAGCCATAATGACAGACATCCTCTGTCCCTCCGAGGTGGGGTCAAAAGGAGTATATCTGCGATATGCCTCCATGAGGCGCTCCAAGAAAACAGAGGGGGCTTCTTCTGGCTCCTGCATAACCTCTCTTACCTTAGCCAAATTGGTGGGGCGTCTCGCCGCCCCTCTGAGACCTGACACCAGAGCCCGGCGGTAGATGGACAGCCTTTCCCTACCTGCAGCTGTGTTGTGGTCCCATTGGGGCCGAGTGAGGGGAACAGCCTCATCAATCTCTGCTGGAGTTAGATTCTGCAAAAGTTGTCCCGCAGCGTTCTGGATGTTTCTCCGGGCCTCCAGAAGAACTCTCTCTTTCTCTTCGGCTGTGAAGAGAGTCTGGAGGAGCTGATTGCAATCATCCCAGGTGGGCTGGTGCGAGTACATTATAGACTCCACCAGTCCAATCAGGGATGTAGGATTCTCTGAAAAAGGGGGATAATTAGCTTTCCAGTTAAACAGATCAGATGAAGAGAAGGGCCAGTATTGTAGGAACTGGACTGCATTCGGCTCGGTAGGTGCCGGACCTATAGCTCGGAGAGGTAGAGAAACAGTGGAGTCGGGTCCTTCCGGACTCAACCCTCTCCGGCTCCGAGTGCCAGTTGCCGGCCCCCCGGCCCCGGCTGCTCCCTGTGGTTCCGGACTCGGTGCCGAGGCCGGGGGAGCCTGTGGTGGTTGATGATAAGGGGGGGGCAGTGGCGGACTCGGCCACTCAGGTGGCTCCTCTATCTCGGGATAGATCTTAGGCAGAGTTTTAGTTTCCGAGTCCGGTTTTGGTTTGGGTTTGGGCGTTTTAGGCCTGGAACTGCTGAGAGCCAGGGCTCGGGAGCCTGGCTGTCTCTTAACCCATGGTCTCACCCACGGAGGGGGATTCTGGATCAGGTTCTGCCAAACCACGATGTATGGCTGTTGATCGGGATGTGACCCTGGTCCTTCCTGAAAAATAGTAGCTTTTACTGCAGAAATAGTAGTCGCGTCAAAAGTCCCCTCAGGTGGCCATCCCACATCAAGTTTTGGCCACTCTGAGGCACAGAAAGTCTGCCAACGTCCCTTCCTGATGTTAACCGATAACTCATTGCCTCTGTCCTTCACCTCTGTCCAGTGGTCTAAAGTCAGGCTTAAGGGAGTCACTACAGTCTGTCCCATAACTGTCAACAAGCAACACAAAACACAGACAAAACAACTACACTAACCGTCTCAACCAAGAAGGCCAAAACCAATACAGAAAAACAGATGGCCAGGAGGTCTCTCACACCTCCTCCAGCAGGCCAGGAGGTCTCTTACACCTCCTCCAGCAAGCCACCGTGTCCTCTCTGGCCTCCAGACGGGCACCCACCAGGCGTCCCTGGGGTCCCTCCTCACCTGGGATGTCTCCCAGGTTGTGGCAGTGGTAACCCTCCTAGCACGTCTGCTGGTCACCCATTCGCCTCCTGCCGAGACAAAAGGTTTGCTGTCTCTTACGAGACAGAAACAGCTGCCAAGTCAAACCATAGAAGTGCACTTTCCAGAATTCCAAACGAGACGGATCCACACACAAAACACACAAACAAAACCGCGGTGCCCTTACCTCCCAGTGGGGGTCTCAGAGATCAGGGTGGTCGCAAATCCCGGACGAGCCCCCAATGAAGACCTCCACAGAGGGGAGACCCTCTCTCAAGTCTCAGAAAGTCGCGACCACCCAGTAATCTACTCGAGACACCATATACCGGAGCAATTGCAAGGTTATTTATTAGGGCGTGACAACTAGCTGCCGGTCAATTCGCATGCCCACGCAGGAGCTGAATTGACCCCGACTGCCAGTTTGGAACGGGTTTTAAAGGGAAAAACCACAAACCAAGGAAATGAGGAGGGGGTGAGGGGGTTGCTAGGGTGGTATAACATAAAAATAGTGGAACATTCCAAAGGAACCCAACCTACATGAGTCAGGATCAGGTGAAAACTCTCTGTACGCTTATCTTTCTCAAGAATGTAGTCCTACCCTGTCACTTCGGCCTTGCCCTGTCACTTCGGCCTTGCCCTGTCACTATGGTTCTCAGCTTGGTTTCACCTGACTAAATTGCATTCCAGACAGTTCCCGTAATTAGTCTGTCCACATTCTTGCTTCATGCCTCCATGTCTTTGCAAAGAAAGCCTAAAGAATATTTTATGTCTAAAAAGGATTCTATATACCCAGTATCTATAATTTTCACTCTACA